ATTGTTGTTGTTTTGTTGTTGTTTGTTTGTTTTGTTTTTTGGTTTTTTTTGCTTATAGGTTTTCTTGGTAGGATTTTTTTGTTTGTTTTCTTTCGTTAATGTTGTTCAAGTATTTCATTTCAATTCATTTTTGTTCATTTTCCTTATTCCTCTCTTTAGTAATACCTTCATCTTTTCCTCTCTTTTCATGACCCTCTATTTCCTTTTCGATACAAAGTTAAAAGAAAAACATCACGAACATAATAAAAACCACAATATATATATATATATATATATTATATAATATATATATATATATATATATTATATTCACACAAACTTCAATAAGAAAAAAATTGTTTTCCTTTCCAACACAGACTACCAACAACACTCTCACTCTGCCAACAGTTGGAAGACTAATCGTACATACGGAGACACATGTGCTAGCCCCGGGCCGATAACAGACGATAAGGGCGATGCTAATCTATTATCTAATCGAGGAAGAGTCAGAGAGAGGTATGCGTCATGAGGTAAGGTGGTCATAGAAAACGGAGATCGAGTGATTTTTTTTTTTATTTTCTTTTTCTTCGTCTTCTTTTCTTCGTTGTGTCGTTCTTTTTTCTTCTTCGTATTCTTCTTCTTCTTATTATTATTATTCGTCATCATCTTCTTCTTTCTTTCCTTCTTCGTCTTCTTCTTTCTCCTCCTTCTTCTTCTTCTTCTCCTTCTTCGTCTTCTCTTCTTCTTCTTTTTCGTCTTCTCTTTTCTTCTTCTTCTCGTCTTCTCTTCTCTCCTCCTCCTTCTTCTTCTTCTTCTCCTTCGTCTGTCTTCTTCTTCTTCTTCTCCTTCTTCTTCTTCTTCTTCTTCTACTTCTTCTTCTTCTCCTCCTCCTTTGTCTTCTTCTTCTTCGCCTTCTCCTTCGTCTTCTTCATCTTCTTCTTCTCCCTCTTCTTTTTCTTTCTCTTCTTCTCCTTTTTCTTCTTCTTCTTCTTCTTCTCTTCTCTTTTCTCTTCTTCTCTTCTTCCCTTCTTCGTCTTCTTCTTCTTCTTCCTCCTCTTCTTCTTCTCCCTCTTCTTTTTCTTCTTCTTCTTCTTCTTCTTCTCCTTCTTCTTCTTCTTCATCTTCTTCTTCTCCTTCTTCTTGCGGCGAGAAAGTAAGGTTAGTCGATTATTAATGGACATCGGATATTGTGCCATGAATGTGTATTTGGGTGTTTGTAAAAGGGCGAATAAATTGTTATGTAGATGCATGCAACGCCCACATATGTACGGTACGTAAGTGCACACGAACATATGCACACACGCACGCACATACACGCAAACACGCACGCACGCACGCACGCACGCACACACACACACACACACACACACACACACACACACACCACGCCCTCCCGCCCGCACACACGCACACAAATAAATAAATAAAAACAAAAACACACACACGAAATCAAACACATCCTCACAACCACTTTCGAGACTTCACAATGTTACCCACCAAAAATAAATAAATAAATGATAATAAAATAAATAAACAAAAGAAAAAGCTAGAAAGATAGCAAAACAATCCTTAGTCATTTACAATCATTACACATATCTGACAATCCACAGTCACACGCACATATCCCAGAATCCTCATGAATTATTCACAATCCTTAGTCAATTCACAATCCAACCAAACAGTTACTTCGGCTTCACAATCCTCACAGACGCCTCATAATCCTCAGACACTCTCAGGCCTGTAATCCTGACAATTACCTCACAATCACCAATCCTCAGTCCTTGAAATCCTTAGAATCACCTCACAATCCTCACAAAAACATCATAATCCTTAGAAATAACAATCCTCATTAACAGATCAACAATCCCAGACTATCCTCACAATCATGTCACAATAAAATACTAACAATCACTTCATGACCCTTACAATCCTCATAATCACCTCACATCCTCGCAATCACCCCAACAATCACCCCACACTCCGACAACCCACACTCCTCACAATCCCCCCACACTCCTCACAATCACCCCACACTCCACACAATCACCCCACACCTCACAATCCCCCACACTCCTCACAATCACCCCACCTCACAATCACCCCACTCTCCTCACAATCACCCCACACTCCTCACAATCACCACACTCACAATCACCCCACACCTTACAATCACCCATACCCCTCACAATCACCCCACACTCCCAAATTTCCCCCACACTCCTCACAATCCCTTCACAACCCACACAATCACCCCACACTCCTCACAATCCCCCACACTCCTCACAATCACCCACACTCCTCACAATCACCCCTACACTCCTCACAACCCCCCCACACTCCTCACAATCACCCCCACATCCTCACAACCCCACACTCCTCACAATCCCCCACACTCCTCACAATCCCCCACACTCCTCACAACCCCCACACTCCTCACAATCACCTCATTCCCCCCACACTCCACACAATCACCTCACAAACAACCACTCCACCGAGACAAGAAAAAGGACCGTGTTTTTGAGTTACACAATAACGCGAAGTCAGTGTTCGACCTGCGCCTGTGTGTGTACTGAAAGCTTGTGTGTTTTTACAGGGTACCTTTAAGTGGCAAAGCGTGAGAGTCGGTTGTGTACTGGTCCGAGGAAGGAGGCTGTGTTTGGTGTATATGTGTATATTTATATATATGTATATATATATATATATATATATATATATATATATATATATATATATATATATATATATATATATATATATATATATATGTGTGGTGTGGTGTGTGTGTGTGTGTGTGTGTGTGTGTGTGTGTGTGTGTGTGTGTGTTTATTTATTCATATATATAATTATCTTTATTGTTATTTATTTGTTATTACTGAAGTTTTATCATTTATTTATCATTATCTTATTGTTTATTTTCATAATTACTATCACCACATTATTATTATAGTAATGATAATTATTATCATCACTGTTATTAGCAGTAGTATTAACACTATCGTTATTATGATTTTATAATCTTTATCATTACGCTGTTGCTTTTATTGTTATTATCATTATCAATTATTTTTACAATTATCTCTTATAATGGTATCACTATTATTATTGTTATTATCATCTTCATTTTCATCCTCATCATCATCGCCACCATCATTGTTATTATTTTCATTTTTACTATCATTGTAATTATTATCATCATAGGTATTAAGATCACCATAATATGAGTGTTCTCAATATAATAATTACAATAATAATGGTATTTATTAATATTTTCAACATTATTATATATATATATATTTTAAATGCAGTAGTATGGCATTATCATCAACCGAAGAAAAAACGAAAAAGGGATTAAGAAATGAGAAGAGAAATGAGAAAGTCAAATGACGAGAAGAAAGCCAAGAAAAAAAAGATAGTGATCTTAAACAATTTGAAATCATCTTCTCACTTTGCTTATCTCCCCCCCCTCCCCTTCTCCCCTCCCTTCGTATCTCCTACTCTCTTTCCCTCTCCTCTTCCCTTCCCCCTCCTCTGCTTCTCCTTCTTCTCTCTCTCTACTTCCTATTACCTCTCCTACTCCCCTCCCCCGTTATCATTTTTCCCTTCCATCCTCTCTCCTCCTTTCTTCCTATCTTCCCTACCTCCAACTCTTCCCCTTTCTCTTCTTCCCCTTCTCTCTCTCTACCTTCCACTACCTCCTACTCCTTTTCCCAATCTTCCCCTCCCCCTCTCCTCCTCCCTCTCCCTCCCTGCCAATCTTTCCCACCCCCTCTCCTCTCTTCCTTCTTCTCCCTCTCCCTCTCCTATTCCCTTCCCTTCCCTTTCTCTTTCCCTCTTCTCCTTCCTCCCTTCCCTCCCCCTACCCTTCTCCCTTCCTCCCTTCACTCACCCTCTCCTCCTCCTCTCCCTCCCCTCCCCCCCCTTCTCCCCTTTCCCTACTCCCCCCTACTCTTCTCCCTTCCTCCCTTCCCTCCCCTTTCCTCCTCCCTCCCTTCCCTCACCCTTCCTCCTCCCTCTCCCTCCTTCCCGTCTCCCCCTTACTCCTCTCCCTCCTCCCTACCCTTCTCCCATCATCTTCTTCCCTTCTTCTCTCTCTCTCCATCATATACGTCTTCTGAGATTCCTCGCAGATAAGCTTGAAAGAAGAAGAGAAACTAAGAGAATGTGTTTGCTTGTGTCTGACTCCGCCCACAAAGAGGATAAAGGGAGGAGGTGGGAGATAAGAGGAATGAGAAGGGGAAGTGAGAGAAAAGAGGATAATAGTGAGAGAAAGTGGAAGGGAAAAAAGGGAAAAGGGAGAGTGATTAAGAGAGATGGAAATGCTAAAGAACTTTTTAAAATATACGAAATGAAAAGGATAAGGGGAGAGGGAATAAATGAAAAAAAAGAAAGAGGAAGAAATTAAAGATGATAGCAAGTGGGGATCTTAATGAGAAATTATCGAAAGAAAAAATATTGAAAAATGAAACTAACACTTGAAAAACTAAACAGCCGAAAAAAATGAGAATCACAATCAAAATAAAAGATTGAAGCAAAAGAAAAGAAGAGAAAAACAACAACACCACAAAGGAAGAAAAGTAAAACGGAAATAAAGTAAACAAAGGAAAGACAATTAATGATAAGCAATAGGCACTAGAATAAGAAATACAGAAAACAATATGAAGTAAAATATAATTAAGATTAGAAATAAGATACTACTGAAACTATGGAGGGAATCAGACAGACAGTCAGAGCAGAGAGAGAGAGAGAGAGAGAGAGAGAGAGAGAGAGAGAGAGAGAGAGAGAGAGAGAGAGAGAGAGAGAGAGAGAGAGAGAGAGAGAGAGAGAGAGAGAGAGAGGCAGACAGACAGAGACAGGCATACAGGACAAAGAGAGACAGAGACAGATACACAGGACAAAGAGAGACAGAGACAGAGACAAAGAAAGACAGAGAAAGAGACAGATACAAAAGACAGAGAGAAAAGTAGACAGACATAATGATAGAGAGACAGACAGACAGACGGAGAGACGGAGAGAAGAGACAA